ATGCACACTTTATTTTAGTTTGCTAATCATATCATGCATGTAGGTTTTCTCTCCCCTGTGGAGAGTTTACTTATAAAACACTTAGCACACATGAGATGCTAAATGAATATATAAAGGTTTATAGCAGCTTTCGTAATGACCAAAAACTAGAAACAACCCAAATGTCCTTCAACTGGTGAATGGATAACCCAACTATGATACATCCATACAATGGAATACTACTCAGAAATAAAATATGAACGGCTAATACACGCAACAACAGAGACGCACCTTAAATGCATTATACTAATCGAAAGAAGCCAGAATCAAAAGGCTGTGTGATTTTATTTACATGACATTCTGGAAAAAGTAAAACTACAGAGACAAAAAATAGACTAACGTTTGCCAGGAATAGGGGAGGAAAAAGGGCTGACTGTAAAGGGACACAAGAAAATTTCTGGAGATAATAGAAATGTTCTAAATCTTGATTATGGGGTGGTGACTAAATAATTTATCAGAAGTCATAGAACAGGCTGGGTGCCACCAGGTGGCACTTTGGGTGCTGGGATTACAGGCGTGAACCATCGCACCCGGGAGGGTTGAGGTGGGTGGATCACTTGAGGTCAGGAGTTCAAGACCAACCTGGCCAACATGGTGAAACCCTGTCTCTACCAAAAATACAAAATTAGCTGGGTGTGGTGGCACACACCTGTAGTCCCAGCTACTCGGGAGGCTGAGACAGGAGAATTGCTTGAACCCTGGAGGCAGAGGTTGCAGTGAGCTGAGACTGCGCTACTGCACTCCAGCCTGGGTGAGACACAACAAGACTCCGTAAAAAAAAAAAAAAAAGTCACGGAACAGTACCCTAAAAGGATAAGATTTACTGTATGTAAATTAACTTCAATAAACCTTTTAAAAACAGACAATTGGCCAGGCACGGTGGCTCACACCTGTAATCCCAGCACTTTGGGAGGCCGAGGAAGGTGGATCACCTGAGGTCAAGAGTTCAAGACCAGCCTGACCAATGTGGTTAAACCCTGTCTCTACTGAAAATACAAAAATTAGCCAGTTGTGGTGGTACATGCCTATAGTCCCAGTTACTGAAGAGGTTGAGACAGGAGAATTGCTTGAACCTGGGAGGTGGAAGTTGCAGTGAGCCAAGATCACACCACTGCACTGCAGCCTGGGCAACAGAGCAAGACTCCGCTTTAAAATAAAATAAAATTAAATTGAAACAGACAATTTTAAAATTAGGGTTGTATTTGAAAACCAAAGTGTTCATACCTCATAGAGAAATGGGTCTCTCTGGATTCCTTTCTTTTCTTCATTATATTCCCTGAAATGCAGAACCACATGTGAAAAACAGAACTACATTATCTCTCCTGCTATTCACACTCAAGAGTCAGCCATCACTTTATTTCAACAGGATACCTACGGCAAAGGCAAAAAGCACATACTTACAGGAGCCCGAAGATGTAGCTGGGGAGACAGAAAAAAAGCAGAAAAGAAGCATTAAGAAGAAAACAGAAAAAAGACAATTGTGACAGAGATTAATAGACTCTTGCACTCAATTGGGTACAACTCAATTCTCAGAGGCAGCAGGAAATTGGGTTGCCTACCTCTACCCTGTGTCTAAATATTACCAGTTAAAATTAAAATGTAACTTGCCACATGACCTTTCAAAAGTAACAATGGTTGGATTCTCATCTGTTACTGACTCAGAGAGTAGCCACAGAGAAGTTACTTACCGGGCCTAGGCCTTAGATTTCTATGACTAAGATGGAAGCATCTGTCCTCCAATTTTATAAGTTGTTATTCAAAGTTAGTAAATTTGATTATGTTGAACATTTCCTTTTAAAATGTCAGGATGAAACTCTAGGATATCATTTAATCATTATCTTTTACTTCAAGAAAGTTTTAAAATAGTGAATCTAAAGCTCTTAAACTGTAACCCATTAACATACCAAAATACACACCAGCCTGATCTACCCTGAAAGAGAAAAGAATCTTTAGTCATTGAAGGAACCCAATAGAACTGTTTCAAGATACCATTTATATCTATTCGATCTAATACTAAACGACTTCCTGAAAAAGAAACAGGAGAGCTAAGCCTATGACCAATTCATTTTGCCATATTGTGAAAGATTGTGATTTAGTCTCACAGATGTTTGTGTCTCATGTACAACTCAGGAATGTTATTTAATCAGCCTTGCAATCATGTCTCAAGCATGTGTAACAGAGGCCAGCCACTCCTGCGAGATACTGAGAATATCAAAAGCGTAGTCCCTGGTTCATAGTCCTGACTGGATTCCAACAAGTAAACCACAGTTCCAAGTGATAAGTGCTCAGAGGCAAGTACGGGAAGCTTTAATAGAAATTTAGCTATAGGGCTTAAACTTTATCCTGAAAGCCAAAAGGAACTCACTAAAAGATTTTAAATGGGAAAAAAATCTGTCAGTAATATGGAGGATAATAACTCGGAGACCAGGAAAATAGCTGTGAGTAACTGGTAGCACTTCAGAGAACTGATAATGGTCTGAATGAATACAGCATGGAGAATAGAGGATTGATAAGGCAGGGGTGAGGGTTTGGAATTAGAACTCAACTCAGAGAGAGAATTCAGAAGTAGAATGTCCAGTTGGAGGAAAAATTTAATTCAGCTTTGCAGATATTGATCGCAGGTCCCATGTGAAAATTCCCCCCAGTAAGGGGGAAAAAAGTGTTATACTTGCTATGTGAAGTACAAAAGGTCTAATTAGGCCAGGTGCAGTGGCTCATGCCTATAATCCCAGCACTTTGGGAGGCTGAAGTGGGTGGATCACAAGGTCAAGGGATTGAGACCATCCTAGCCAACACAGCGAAATCCTGTCTCTACTAAAAATACAAAAATTAGCTAGGCATGGTGGCACGCACCTCTTCTAGCTACTTGGGAGGCTGAAGCGGGAGAATTGCTTAAACCCAGGAGGCAGAGGTTGCAGTGAGCTGAGATCACACCACTGCACTCCAGACTGCTGGCAGNAAAAAAAAAAAAAAAGAAAGAAAATAAAGAAAGAAAAAGAAAAGGAAATAAAGGGTCTAAATAAAGTTGTATCAATAAGGGACTTATTTATTAATTTATTTTTAGAGATGAGCTGTCACTATGCTGCCAAGGCTGGCCTCCAACTCCCAGGCTCAAGCAATCCCCCTGCCTCAGCCTCCAGAGTAGCTGGGATTACAGGTATGCGCCACCATGCCTGGCTAATAGGAGGCTTTTATGTTCTTGGTTTTTTGTTTTTTTTTCTGAGACAGAGTCTTGCTCTGTTGCCCAGGCTGGAGTGCAATGGCATGATCTTGGCTCACTGCAACCTCTGGCTCCTGGGTTCAAGCAATTCTCCCAAGTAGCTGGGATTACTGGTGCCCACCACCACGCCCAGCTAATTTTTATATTTTTAGTAGAGATGGGGTCTTGCCATGTTGGCCAGGCTGGTCTAGAACTCCTGACCTCAAGTGATCCACCCGCCCTGGCCTCCCAAAGTGCTGGGATTACAGCGTGAACCACCACCCCCAGCCTTATCTTAAAGCCTTATATTTATTTATTTATTTTATAAATAAATATAAAACAGTCATAGAATGAAATACTATACAGCAGTTAAAAAATGAGATAGATCTACAGGGTGTCACAATGAAGGAAGTCCAAGACATGCTAGTTTTTTTTTTTTTTTTTTTGAGTGCTCTTTCTATTCAAAACATTTACAAGCATTACTACTTTTGTAAGCAGGAAAAAAAAAGCAATGAAGATAAACAATGAAACATTATAACATTTAGGAAATCATCGACTAGATTACACAGTGGTTCTCAAAGTGTGATGCCCAGCCATATCCGTTTCACCTATTTGTCAGGAGGGCAGATTCTTTAGCTCCACCCCAGACCTACTAATTCAGAAACCCTGGAGGTGGAGGCCAGCAATCTGTGCTTTGACAATCTTCCGGTGATTCTGATGCATGGTCAAATTTGAGAATTATGGATTAGATTTTTACATAGAATGTATTCTCCTTGTAGTACTTCACTATAAGAATAAGACGAAGTCTTGGAGCACAGTGAAAATAAAGGTGGTTTTAAAACGCAACACACCAATCTGCTATCATTACAATTGTAGCTCATGTGGCAACTACCTCGAGTGATAGAGATTAACAGACCAACACATTTCACTTTCCGGAGTCGAAAAAGCTTTCAACAGGCGAAGGACGCCAACACCTAGTATTCCGTATCCTGGGAGATGCCTCTGCGTACGGCAAGTGTCTGCATCAGCAGAAAGAATAAACCGCCTCTTGGAACACCTGCCACCTGCCACCTGCCACCTCGTGTGATGACTTCACGGGGTCAATCCCACCCAGGAGCTGAGAGCCAGCCTCTTCCCAACTTCTGGACCCCAGGAAAGCTGGCAAGGCGCTAAGCCCCAAAGAGCGGCAAGAAGCTTAAGGCGGGGATCCAATACTCAGGGAAAGAAGTGCTGTCCCAGGACCCCAGCCAAAAGAAGAGACTAGACTCACTGAAGGAGGAGAGAATAAAACTCCTCAGCCGCGCCGTTCATCCGCTCCCACATCCTGCCCCAGAGTGAGAGCAGGACCGGAACTGCCAAATCGAAATGCGCGCGGAGCCGCCGACGTCAGGGGTCATGACCCCGCCCCGCCGGGACTACATTCACCCCCCTGCCACATAAATTCTGTTTGTCCACAAAATTAAACTTTGGTTCCAGGCCACTCAGAGCTATTTATTGTGTTAATAGTCTTCAGTTTTCAGCAATAATTAAAATAAGTGTATGGTTCGGGAGAAGACTCCTCGACTCGCCAGTTGACCACGCCCCCTATGGATTATTCCGCGAAAAGGAGTCCCTATTTTCTACTAACCATGATTAGCTTTGGAAGAAAATAGATATCGTAATTTCCCACAAATAAAGAAATAACATGCTAGTTTTTATTTTTGTAGTGTGGTAGAGAAATATTTTGTGTATCCATGTTGGTTCTAAAGCGGGGCAGGGTGGGGCGGTCATGAGGAAGGTTACATATACACAGGGAGTAATGAGAACTTCCTTTTCCTGTGGCAGCTGCCGGGCCGAGAGGAGCGTGGCTGTCTCCTCTCTCCGCCATGGTGAGTGGAAATCTTCTTGGCTGTCCTTATCCCGGATCTTGGGGCCAATAAGGAAGGATTCGGGGTTCGAAGCATAGAGTCTCTAGGAGATCGAGCGAGGAGAAGGAGACGTAGACCAAAGGCGTCTATTTCTGGTGTGGAACTGGGGCGTGCGGCCTTACGGCAGCCATCTTAAACGCAACGTGGGCTTCCCAGCACAGGACGCGCCTGGAGGCAGTATTGGAAGGCACTGGGTCGTTCTCAGGAGCAGTGGGGCTTAGTCTTAGAAAAGTTGGTTATTTAGCCGTTTTTCTGGATGCTCGTCTCTGCCTAGCTTAGGAATCATCTCTATTAAAAAGCCTTCTGGTTCGCTTCGCTTAAAAATTGTTCGGTGTCATCTAAATCTTCGAATCCTTAGCCAACTCTTAATATGACCAGTGTTATATGTGTACTGCTTTTGCATAAATAGTCCGTATATATGTAGTGTTGTGTGCCGTAGGGCAAACACTATTCTGACGGGGATCGTAGTTCAGTTGGACTAACATAGAGTACTCTTCAGTGGCAGTAAGAGACATAGACAAAGGGTATTGGAGTGGTTTGGCTTTAAACAGAGTGATCAGAGAAAGCTTAAAGTGGCCTGAAGGATGTGAGGAAATTGTACAAAGAGGAGCTTTAGAGTGAACACCTGGAAATTTTTTTTTTTTTTTTTTAAACATTCAGTAAGATGTTTCCTAGCTATAGCGTTAGAACGGGCGAACACCTGGAAATTCTGAGGCAAGAGTGAGGTGGTCCTGAGACCGAAGATAACATCTGGAAGAGAGTATGGGAGATGCGATTAGAGGTAGAGAAGATTGTGTAGGTCTGCCTCAGGATTTTGATTTTACTGACAGGTGGGAAGTCTTTGGGAGAGGTTTCAACAAAAAGTGGTATCACCAGTGTTTTACTGGTGAGCTTTGGAACATGTGTTCAGAAGAGGGTCAAGGTTAGTGGGACAGGCATGGAGGTTGGGATGAGCTGAAGCCCGGATGGATGGGATTTGCTGATTAATTGGCATTAAACAGGATCTTAAAACCTTGCAATACGGTTTTGATTTAGCCATTGTGCTTTATAAGGCTTGTCTTTGAAAATAAAATTGTGCAGTAGAACTTGAGATTCTGATGGTTCTTTGTGTGTAAGAGAATTTACTGAAGTTAGTAAAACTGTTATCGGTATGTTAGTCATTTATGGCTACTTTGGTTTGAGCTTGTTTGCCCACCATTCCAATCTCTTTTGCAATTATTTCATGGGAGTGTTGGCATATGAGAAGAGTTTTTAACATTACTTGTCAATGAAAATAATTCCTTCCTTTTTCTTTAGGCGTGTGCTCGCCCACTGATATCGGTGTACTCCGAAAAGGGGGAGTCATCTGGCAAAAATGTCACTTTGCCTGCTGTATTCAAGGCTCCTATTCGACCAGATATTGTGAACTTTGTTCACACCAACTTGCGCAAAAACAACAGACAGCCTTATGCTGTCAGTGAATTAGCAGGTATGGATTTGTACCTTCTGCAGATATTTTAGGGACTGCTTTACAGTAGTGATGAAATTCCACTTCATTGGTCCGTGTTTCTGAACCAGATGATTTTCTTGGATGTTCTGATGCTGTTTGCTACCGTGTATAATAGTCATAGGTTGGTATGTATGATGAAGCAGCTAAAATTTTTCTCTCTCCCCAATTTTAGGTCATCAGACTAGTGCTGAGTCTTGGGGTACTGGCAGAGCTGTGGCTCGAATTCCCAGAGTTCGAGGTGGTGGGACTCACCGTTCTGGCCAGGGTGCTTTTGGAAATGTATCCTTTATTTCACTACCTGAGACTGGTAGGCTCTGATGGAATTTAGCAGACTGGGTCTAATGTAAAAACAGTACATTTCTTAAAGAGAAGGGGCTTCATTTATATGTGGTTATTTTGCTTGCCATGATGTCGTAATTTGCGTCTTACTCTGTTCTCGGCGACAGTTGCCTGCTGTCAGTAAGCTGGTACAGAAGGTTGACGAAAATTCTTACTGAGCAAGAAATAACCTTTTTTAATTACTAAAATTTGAGAAATGTGGTTCTTGACTGGAAAAATAGATGTGTCGTGGAGGCCGAATGTTTGCACCAACCAAAACCTGGCGCCGTTGGCATCGTAGAGTGAACACAACCCAAAAACGATATGCCATCTGTTCTGCCCTGGCTGCCTCAGCCTTACCAGCGCTGGTCATGTCTAAAGGTTTGTAATGCTTTGTATCATAAGAGAGGTTGAAGAAATAAGGCACCTAGTGTTTGATCGTTAGTGTGATTTTTTTTTTTTTAAATTCATAGTAACCTATTTTGAGATGACTAAAAGAGAATAATTTGAAGGTTTTTAATGTGAAATGTTTTACCTAATGGATATCCCAGTTACACTGATTTGATCTTGACACATGAGTGCATTCAGTCATCAGATGTTCTCCAGAAATAGACCTATTACATACAAGTTTTAAAAGATTTAATCAAAAATATTTTGTATCAGAGTAGTGCAGAATGCTCCACTTTTCTGTCACATGAACGTTTGTTAGAATTGCCTGTGTAAATTCTTTTCATTCTAAAGTGTCTGATTAAATTTTAATCCTTTACAAAATAATATATCTGACTACTTAAATCTGACAATTCATCAATGAATACTAGTGTAACTGGGAACTCTTCAAGTAGTGGTTTGGTGTATTAGAAAACTTCCTCCTTAAATGCCCATTGTGTTTCCCACCACGTTTTTATTTAACTGTCAAAATGATGAGATTCCACTTAATTGGTCCGTGTTTCTGAAACACATGATATTTGTGGAAATTCTGACTTGGCAAATTGAATACCATTGTGCTTTTATAAGTTATATAAAATGTTTCTTGATTTTTATTTATTTTTTTTCTGAAAGTTTTAGGATAACCTAGTAAGCATCAAATTGGTTTTTGTTAGGTCATCGTATTGAGGAAGTTCCTGAACTTCCTTTGGTAGTCGAAGATAAAGTTGAAGGGTACAAGAAGACCAAGGAGGCTGTTTTGCTTCTTAAGAAACTTAAAGCCTGGAATGATATCAAAAAGGTCTACGCCTCTCAGCGAATGAGAGCTGGCAAGGGCAAAATGAGAAACCGTCGCCTATCCAGCACAGAGGCCCCTGCATCATCTACAATGAGGATAATGGTATCATCAAGGCCTTCAGAAACATCCCTGGAATTACTCTGCTTAATGTAAGCAAACTGAACATTTTGAAGCTTGCTCCTGGTGGGCATGTGGGACGTTTCTGCATTTGGACCGAAAGTGCTTTCCGGAAGTTAGATGAATTGTAYGGCACTTGGCGTAAAGCTGCTTCCCTCAAGAGTAACTACAATCTCCCCATGCACAAGATGATCAATACGGATCTCAGCAGAATCTTGAAAAGCCCAGAGATCCAAAGAGCCCTTCGAGCACCACGCAAGAAGATTCGTCGCAGAGTCCTAAAGAAGAACCCACTGAAAAACCTGAGAATCATGTTGAAGCTAAACCCATATGCAAAGACCATGCGCCGGAATACCATTCTTCGCCAGGCCAGGAATGTGAGTGATTTTTTTTTTTAACTGATACATTAAGTTCTTAGAAAGATTTGGTTCTCACTGTTTTCGACCTAATATGTTGCAGCACAAGCTCCGGGTGGATAAGGCGGCCGCGGCAGCAGCAGCACTAGAAGCCAAATCAGATGAGAAGGGAGTTGCAGGCAAGAAGCCTGCTGTAGTAGGTAAGAAAGGAAAGAAGGCTGCTGTTGGTGTTAAGAAGCAGAAGAAGCCTCCAGTAGGAAAAAAGGCAGCAGCTACCAAGAAACCAGCCCCGGAAAAGAAGCCAGCAGAAAAGAAACCCACTACAGAGGAAAAGAAGCCTGCTGCATAAACTCTTGAATTTGATTATTCCATAAAGGGCAAATCATTTTGGACAGCTTCTTTTGAATAAAGACCTGATCAAACAGGCAGAGAAACACAGCTTGTTGGTGTGTTCTGTAAAGCTTGGTTAGAATTTTTTGAGAGACATTTTATTGGCAATAATTTAGATTGTTCCATTTTATATGGTCTTATAAAATGGGGCATGGATTTATACTAAGTCCATGGAGTTGAATGGAAGGGGAATGATCAAAAACTCTTAATTTTCTAAATGTGGCTTGAAAAATAGGTTTAACAGGACTTGGTCAGAAATGCACAGAGGCTGTTGAGCTCCCCACCAAATGGAAAATAGGTAAATTCTGTAAACATTTAACACTTTCACCACAAGAGGGCACAATTGGAGAGCAGTTTTTTTGGTAGTGGAGTGAAATTGATCGCCTCTTAAAAGCGTTCTTTTTAAACCAGCTATGACAATAGAATTGCTTGAATATTTTTACCCGTGGTTTGAAAAAGTGCCAGAAGGCCACACTGGCTCGTGCCTGTAATCTCAGCACTTTGGGACCCTGAGGCAGGTGGATCACTTGAGGCCATGAGTTCAAAAGCAGCCTGGACAAATGATGAATTCTCATTTTCTAAAATTATAAAACACACCTGTAATCCCAGCTATTTGGGAGGTTGAGACAGGAGAATCACAACCTGGGAGGTGGAGGTTGCAGTGAGCTAAGATTGCAGCATTGCATTCTAGCTTTGGCAACAAAGACCGTCTCAAAAGTACCAGAAGCATTTTTCAGGACTGCTTATGTGTCTTGGTGAATATATTAACTGTCCAAAAGAAATACCCATGAAGCACGGTGGCTCACACCTGTAAGCCCAATGCTTTGGGAGGCTGAGCCGGGTGGATCACGACGTCAGGAATTGACCAGCCTGCCCAACATGCTGAAACCCTGTCTCTACTAAAAATAAAAAAATCGTCAGGCATGGTGGTGCACACCTGTGATCCCAGCTACTCTGGAGGCTGAGGCAGGAGGCACAGGTGGTGGCGGCCGCAGATCACACCATTGCACTTCAGCATGGCCGATAGAGCAAAAAAATTGTCAAATAACTATGAAATGCCTCCTCAAGATACAAGGGGCTCTTTTTACTCATAAAGCTAAACTGCAGTTATTACCCTAGAATTAAGCTTTTTGTCCTGTGTCAAAACCTTGTTTTGCGTCTGGATTGTTAAGTAGCCTCCCTCTGCCAGTCTCAGTAAGTTCACAGTCAAGGTGATCTGTAATCCTCCCCATTTCCATGGCCAAATCCCAGTTCTTAAGCACATAAAGGTGCCATTTCTCATCGCAATTTCTTACCACGGCTTTATTTTCCTGCTTTTCAGTTCTCTATTTGGTGTAGCCTTACCCTTTAAAGTCCCCTGGGAATCCTACCCTGCGGGGCCTCTTTTAGCACAGTAGGGTTCATGTGCCTGCCTTCAAATCTGCAGGGTTTTTCTGGGTTAAGACAGCCACTTGTTGGAACACCATATTGGAAGTGCCATACACCAGGTCATTTGAAACGGTGTTTGACCACTTGACGCGGAAGTGGCCCATCGGATTAGAGGGTATCGACAAAGTGTTTTGACACAGATCCTGGACACCTACCTGCAGCTCGTCGCCTGGGAGTGGCCAAGCCACAGCGAGCGCCGGAAGGGGGCGCACCCTTTGCCCTTCCCGGCATGGCCGGCAGCCCCGTCTCTCCGCTCGGCTTCCGGGAGTCGGCGGCGATGGCGTCATCACCGAGCGCCGGGCCTACGGCAGCGCGGAGGCCGGCGGTGTGAGCAGGAAACATGCTGAGCCGGCTTCAGGAACTGCGCAAAGAGGAGGAGACGCTGCTGCGGTTGAAGGCGGCCCTGCACGACCAGCTGAACCGCCTCAAGGTGAGCCCGGGGCCCCTCCCGACTGTCCTCCGTTCCGCCCGAGCTAACCATTTCCCCCCGACCCGGGCTTCTGCGGTGCCCTCCTGCTGCGGCCAGTTCTCCCCTACCCACCAGCTGTGGTGGCGCCCATGTACGGGTTGACAAACTCTGGGGAGTTTGCTGTGCGCCCGTTAGGCCCCACCTCCGAGAATCTTGACCCCGCAGGTCTAGGCTGAGGCGCAGGGATCTGTGTTTGGCAAGTCCAGCCCTACCTGATTCCTCCCGTAAATGCCGATGGCCCTCAGACAGCACGCTGGGGAAGGGCGCCCGAAGGCTCGCCTGGACCCCTGGGCCCACCGACCCCTTCCTTCCGAACTGCTGTTTTCTAGTTTGTCTTGGCGCTTGGAATGGCTCTAGTTTTGCAAAGCTAGGAGGGACTCCCAGATCCTCCCATGCTACCAAGGAAGACGGAGGCCCTGGGAGGAGAGACTTGTCCCAATGTCTGCAGCTCCCAGTAGCTCTTGTTACTGACGCCATGGCCTTGAGGAGGAGTCGGGCAACCTCCGCCTTCTGGGCTCAGGCGAGTCTCCTGCTTCACCTTTCCAAGTTGCCGGCATTACAGGCTTGTACCACCACGCCCGGCTAATTTTTAGTAGAGACAGGGTTTCGCCATGTCGCCCAGGCTGCTCTCAAACTCCTGAGCTCTAGGAATCAGCCTTCCAAAGTGCTGAGATGACAGGCGTAAGCCACCGCGGCCAGCCTTACCAAAAAAAATTAAAATTAGCTGAGCGTGTTGGTGCGCGCCTGTAGCCCAGCTACTCGGGAAACAGGTGAGAGGATGACCTGAGCCCAGGAGTCAACGCTGCGGACATCTGAGATTGTGCCACTGCACTCCAGCCTAGGCCAGAAGGTCCCTGGGAGGTGATCATGCTAATCCCCGCTCAGCTTCCTTTTTCAGAACCTTTTTTTTTTTTATTATTTGAGACAGTTTTTCGCTCTTGTCACCCAGGCTGGAGTGCAATGGCGCGATCTCGGCTCACTGCAACCTCCGCCTCCCAGGTTCAAGCGATTCTCCTGCCTCAGCCACCCGAGTAGCTGGGATTACGGGTGTCCACCACCAGGCCCAGCTAATTTTTTGTATGTAGTACAAACGGGTTTCACCATGTTGGCCAGGCTGATCTCCAACTCCTGACCTCAGGTGATCCATCCGCTTAGGCCTCCCAAAGTGCTGGGATTACAGGCATGAGCCACCACACCTGCCCCTTTTTTCAGAAACTTTAAGTCCATATGAGGTTAAGATTGCCAAAGCCCTTTGTAAACTGAAAAGTATTATACACCTGTGACATATCACAATCATAGCATTTTTTCTTAGGGAAGTTATAATGCCCTCCGCTTATTTGTGTCTCTGTATTGCCACAATACAGTACCTGATGAGTGTATTGAGGACCGCCTCCAAAGTCCAGATTTCCTTATGCTTCAGGAAACGCCTCTGTTTTCTGTTCTTTCCTCCACATCTCATTACTGAATAACAGGCTCAGGTCCAGGGAATCGCTCTGAAGAGTCAGGTGATACCTGTCTGTTTTATTGACACACTTGCACTTTTCTGAGTTGCTAGGTCTAGGGAAGTGGAAGCCATGGCTCAGCCAGAACACCTGTTCAGCCCAGGGGAAAGGGGCTGGAGTCCTTCTTTGCTCATCTCTAAAAGAGAGAAAATCTAAGCGCCTACGCTGCAACTTTCCCTCTAGAGCAACAGAGAGAGTTTTCATTCCCTCTTGATGCAAATCTTTTATGGTATGCCCAGCAGTTTACCCACATCGGTAGCCCAGTGAAATAGGAAAGTGACCTCCACTCTGCTTTTCTAGGTTGAAGAATTAGCCCTCCAATCAATGATCAGTTCTAGAAGAGGAGATGAGATACTGTCTTCTCAAACTGTACCTGAACAGTCACGTGATGTAAGTGTAATCAAGTGCAGGCCTAGGAGGGAATGCAACTATGCTGCTTGGGTGATGAAGAACTGATGTAAATCACATTACTTAGCCCAAAGGGCTCTGGGAAGTGCTGATAAGAATTTTCTGTCTTAATAAGGTAGCAACTATACATTACCCACCTTCCTACCAGCAGGTTATACTTTAATTTATTAAGTAGTCCCTAATGTTTTACCTCCATCCTCCTCATCCATTCTCTCTAGTTACTCAGATGAACCCAGGGAAAGTGTGGATTTTTTGTAGGGATATGTCAAAACTCTTGCTCTTTTGTGAATAAGTAACCTTGGGATTCAAGAGTGTCGCTTCAGTTACAAAGCACCGTGCTAAAAGATGAGTTCCAGTCCTTATCATACCCATCTCCTACCAAATGCCTTCAAGTCAGTCAGCAAAATCTTATTTTTGTTTTTGAGACGGAGTCTCACTCTGTTGCCAGGCTGGAGTGCTGAAGTGCAGTGGTGCAATCTTCGGCTCACTGTAACCTCGGACTCACAGGTTCAAGCGATTCTCCTGCCACAGCCTCCCAAATAGCTGGGATTACAGGTACGCGCCACCACACCTAGCTAATTTTTGTATTTTTAGTAGAGATGGGGTTTCACCATGTTGACCAGGATGGTCTCCATCTCCTGACCTTGTGATCTGCCTGCCTCAGCCTCCCAAAGTGCTGTGATTACAGGTGTGAGCCACCGCACCCGGCCAGCAAAATCGTTTTTTTTTTTTAAGTCAAACCTGTGAGTTCAGCAAAATCATATTTCTAAGTATACAATATTTAAAGTTCTCTCAGATTTTATGTTAAGACATTTGAAACCATGATACAGCAGCATATGTAAGTTGGCACAATTCTTATGGACTTTTCTGTAATATAATGTTTGTAAACGAGATAACATTCTAGTAAATCTGAGGTATTTACTTTTGCCCCATTTTGGTAATGGAGGTGGGGGTAGCAAAGGAAAGTGACCATACCTCTTAGTCATAAGTACATAGGCCATTGAGATTTGATTTTAAAACATTTTTAAGAATTTGCTGTTTAGAGGCCAGCATCCTTCCTACTAATCTGTGATGCCTTTGGTTAATACAGATGTTGGTGCATGTAGACAATGAAGCATCAATCAACCAAACGACACTGGAGTTGAGCACAAAGAGTCATGTGACAGAAGAGGAAGAGGAGGAAGAGGAAGAATCAGATTCCTAAAGGAGGGGAAAAACCAGGGTCAGTTACACAAATTGCATTTCTAAGTCTCAGACTACTTCTCCTCCAGGAAATCATCTTGCCACGGGCCCTGTGGCCTGCTTGAAAGAAAAGCAAGAACTATAAGAAGGATGTGTAGTTGCAAAAATAGTTCCATCAGTAACTGAAGCTTCAGAACGTTATGACGTGGAGAAAATCAAAGATGCTTTGTCAGCATTGAGCAATATGGATGGTGCTGTCTGTGATCTGATCAGATTCAGTAAGTGTTGAAAACAAAATTTGCTCTCAAATACTGATGAGAAAGTCTGGCATTTACAAAAAGGGCAGTTTAAATACAAGCCAGCCTTTCTACCCAACAATGCCTCTTTTAAGAAAATTAAAGGCTGTCTGCATGCCGCTGAACCCTTGTGAGCAGTTAGGCCACAGTCTAGGACAAAAAGATGACCAGGGGAAGGACTGAGGGCCATCTGAGAGCACAAGCTGTCGCTCCCCCTCAGAGGCACTGAAACACTGCATGCTGTAAACTGCTTTGTGGGCCAGGCGCCGTGGCTCATGCCTGTAATCCCAGCACTTTGGGAGGGCAAGGCAGGTGGATCACGAGGTCAGGACATCAACACCATCCTGGCTAACACAGTGAAACCCAGTCTCTAAAAATAAACTGCTTTGTGTAGCTGCTATCATCTCTCACTCGAGACATCACTGGTAAAATATTTTTATAAATAATAAATTATAAATAGCCATCATGGAGCCTGCTGGTTTCTAGGTAGCGAGAGAGAGAGGCAGCAGTTCCTTCTCTGAGGAAAAGATATAATAGGATGGGCCGGGCGCGGTGGCTCACGCCTGTAATCCAAGCACTTTGGAGGCGAAGGCAGGTGGATCACCTGAGGTTGGGAGTTCAAGACCAGCCTGATCAACATGGTGAAACCCCGTCTTTAAAAAAATAAAATAAAAAATAATTAAAAAGATACAACAGGATGGTTTGAAATCCATTTCTGGCCCTGAGAGAGATGTGCCATGCTTGGAAGATTGAATTTTTATAACGGATGACAGCTACAGAATAACAATTGTTACTTAGTATCTGAAGTTGAAGTTCTTTTCTGCATACTGTCCCCTTTTCCACTGACTACTATGCAGTAAGTAGTTGCTTAATTTTATAAAATTAATTTCCCCTGTCCAAACAACAGTAAAAGCCAAACAAAATGACAAAGAACTTTCTCAAGTAGAACTTACCTAACAGTTCCCAAAGAATACTTTTGTTAACGTTACATTGAAATTATTTTGAGCTGCTCTTAGAGGAAACAGCCAGAGGTTTAAATGAGCATATTCCTTAGAACACACAATGGGAAGACAGTTTGGGAACAAAAAGCATCAAGGTACATCAATCTTGGGGGTCTAATTTAAAATAGAGCATGGGTTTTAAAAGCTGGAAAAGTTGACTGAATTCCAGCTCTACCACTGACTGGTCACTTTCCCATCTGTAAGGTGAAGATTCTCGTATCTGCTCTAGCAGTTTCACAGGTTGCTATGAGGTGCTAATGAGATGATTTAAAAATCCAACTATCATTGGTGTCTCAGTAAGAATTTAGCATTGAGAGCTCAAAATACTACAACACTCATTCTGGCAACATCATTCTTCATTTAAAAAAAAAATCTAAACACCCCTCAAAAGACTCTGAGCATGAAAGTGGTCAGATCTAGGTTTTAGACACCAACATTTCTCCTAAGGATACAATATGCTCATTTTAATGAGACATTCTCAGTAGTGTGGTACCTGTCATTTGTAAAAGACACAGGGTGTAAATGTTAAAACCCAGCCTGAATGTTTATATGCTGAAAATGCATAAATTAAACTACCTCACAGTGTGAAAAAACAACTAGCTTAGGCAGCAGCGGATACAACACTGATCTTTTTTTTGAGACGGAGTTTCGCTCTTGTTACCCAGGCTGGAGTGCAATGGCGTGATCTCCGCTCACCGCAACCTCCGCCTCCTGGGTTCAGGCAATTCTCCTGCCTCAGCCTCCTGAGTAGCTGGGATTACAAGCACGCGCCACCATGCCCAGCTAATTTTTTGTAGTTTTTTAGTAGAGACGGGGTTTCACCATGTTGACCAGGATGGTCTCGATCTCTTGACCTCATGATCCACCCGCCTCGGCCTCCCAAAGTGCTGGGATTACAGGCTTGAGCCACCGTGCCCGGCCTAACACTGATCCTTTTTAAATCCTGGCAATATCCCAAGCTCTGGTACCTCTAGATTGGAACTACCTATTTAGAAGATTACTTACCCAAGTTTAGTTTTTAATCTAAAAAGGAATGGGCCTTTTATTTTTAATTATATATGTTGGCTTTGGTATTCTATCACCTGCCCTTTCAAAGAAAATAATGAGGGGAGAGCTATTGACCAGGCAGCCTCAAATGTACCTAAAAGTTCCAAGAGACTTTTCAAATAAGGAAAGCCCCCTGTGGTCAGTGGGCCATGGCTTAGGGACATCATTGCCACCACACAGGCATGACAAAGCCAGTGACAGGCACCTCCAGAAGGCCTAGTTAAGTGTAAGTGGTGAAAAAAGGGAAACCATTGCTTAATGTGGAAGCGGACGGGCTGTGCTGTCTGGTGCAGAAAGCTCCCAGTCACCAGCAAGGCCCTCCTGTGAGCATGACAGCTTGGAAGTGCAGGCAGGCCCTCAGCTCAACTCTGGGTATGTGGAAAATGAGAAATGTTCTGTGCGATAAGAAATGTTTTGTGATTTTACTCAGATTTGTTCCCAGCGTTCCATCTGCTGCTTTTCCCTTGTACAAAGAGATCAAAGGAATACACAGGATCTATTCACAGGTCCCACAGGAAGGTGGTTGGAAGGGTGTTGGGTGAGAAGAGTTGGACTGAGTCCAGAGATTGAAATGACGGGAAGCCCCGTTAGTCCAAAGCACTGAACTTCATGTGCTGTTTCTGCCTTCCAGCCTCCTTATCTTCAACTTTCCCCCTCACCAATAATGCTTAGCTAAACCAGTATTTCTTGTGTACTAAAGAAATTGAAAAGCTCACCACAAAAGCAAAAATAGCGTTCATTTTTTTTTAACTTCATAGTATATTTATTAGAATAAGAGGTTAGATTTGTTAAACATCTAGGTTAAAATGGTTAAAAGGATTTTCATACAATTTTAGGCACTATACACGTTGTTTACAACAGCATTGGTACTTGGATATGGGGAAAGATAAATCTGACATTTTAATGCCTTGATCAATTTGTAACAATCAAAATAATTCCACCATTTAAGAAACATTAATCAAAACTTAAAGAGACATACCACTAAGTATCCCACACAGTATACTGAAAATAAATAGAGAAATACAACCAGAAGTCTACAGATCATCAAGTAGACAGACTGGTGAAGCCCCAGCTATCATGGCAGTGAAGGGCTCTGGCTAGATTTGGATGTAAACTGCTGAGTTCTACATGAAAAGCAAATAATAATAAAATAACAGGATGTACACTTTCTGATGCTCATTTTCATAGCAGCAAAGCATGCTTCACATGCACTGCCTGTGAAGGATCTCACAAGGCTCCCTCCTACTCAGAGAAAGTATGCCCAGCAAGAAAAAAGTACCACCAAATGTCAAAGAATCCCGAAAACACAGGCAGACGGCCAGTCACGGAGCAGGAACAGCAGTGCGATTGTAAGAATGACTGCCCACAGTCACCAAAATTTCACTGTAATTCAGCCTGGCACGAGTTTGGATCATCAACATCTACACAAATAGCCCCAAGCACAAAGCCAATCCACTTAGGGGAACAATAATAGTAATAAGAATAAAGACAGTAATATTCAAATGACAAGAGTAGAATCTTGGCACATGCTGTGATCTTCATCCTTTGTCACAGGTGAAATGCACATCTGAACAGAGACAGGCATGGGAAGGAGGCCCAAAAGCGACATGGCAAACCACTGGGCAGGGGACTGGCTCTTTGCTGCTTCCCAAACACTTAGACGCCAGCAGCATGGGTTGGCGTGCTGGGCTGGTTAAGGCCAATGGTGGAGCAGAGCCAACCTGCAAAATCCACTTCCTCAGCGTCAGATCTCTTGATAAAAGCATGAACCTACGTGTAAGGAAACAAGAAAAAGTGGTGTTTAAACAAAAAAAAAAAAATCCAGGAAGGAAACTCCCAGAGTTTCAGGTCTGGAGCTTGTGTTACACGTGGAAGGAGCACCTGGTACCTGCCCCTGAGCAGCAGTGGGGGCAGCTGCAGGCCCAAACACCCGCTCCACCAGTCACAGCAACTGTGAGGCCTTGGGCAAGTCACTTCCCAAAGAGCCTGCTCTCGAAGTATGGAGACAGTAACTCTGCCTTAAATGCCTCGAAGGCTTGTAAGAAGGGACAAAGAAAATAATGGACTTAGTGCATATTACAGTACATACACTGTTTATAGCCGTCCACATATTTACAGTATTACTTAGCTATTCCCACTGCCACCAAACAAGAGACAGCAGGCAGAGAGTGACTCAGGAAGGAGGCTGAATATAAGGCAGTCACTATCAGGAAAAGGCCCCATCCCCATGAAGGACATGGGTTGACCTTTTCTTTCCCTTGGCCCCCTCAGGCCCTTCCTGTGGCATGCTTATTCAGGCTGCGGGGTCACCCTAGCTTTCCCTTAAACTGATGGGAGGGCGGAGGAGACTCATGTTTGGTATTCTGCAGTCCCAGGCTCAGCGGGACCACAGTGGGCAGGGAATGAATGGGATCTGGAAGTGCACAGATGTCTGACAGAGAACAACAAATGAACACACAGGTACTGTAAGAATCTGGAATAAATGGACTCACCATGAGTTGCTTCAAATCTGCTCTCTCTGCCGGGTTTTTTATTAAGCTTAAAAGAAGAAAGATAAGGTGAGAGCTGAGTTAAACTAAGGTCAAAAAGCAATGTGCCAATCCCTGGAGAGCAAGTATCAAAAGCAACAGCTACTATATCCATGATGTAGTTAGACATGTCACGTAAGTCTTGCCTCTCTAAAAAAAAAAAGGCTATGGCAGCAACCAAGGATCATCAGAGGGGAGGGGAAAGGGCAAAACTGTGCCTGCAGAGGCAAAGCTGGTGCTTCCAGAAATGGGGCGGGGAGCCTGACAAATACAGAGTACCCTTCCAGAGAACAGGGAACCAACCAACTCACCATTTATTCACAAAATCTTGAAATTCCAGGCTGAACACTCCACTGGGCAGTTTTGGAGGAGGCTGCAAACACATGTTGAGATAAGAAAAACGCCTGGCTCCTTGCTCCACCATCTCCTCTCCCCATCCCACCCCTCCCTCCAGCCAGTGCTACTTTTTTTTTTTAAAAGTCTTCTCTGCAGCCCAAAGGCAATGCCACTCTCATCCAGTCAAGGAAAGGCACAGGTGGAAGGCCAGTGGCTGCCTTTTCGGTAACCACGTTAGAACCACTGGTCTCAAACAGCACAGAATTGGGACTGAGTCAAGTCTACTCACTTGTCTGGTGATTTTGAACTAATCACTATTCCTCTCTGAGCCTGTTTACTCTTCTGTGACATGAAGGGGTTGGGCCTAATGATCTCAGGGACCCTTTCAAGCTCTGACACTACAATGGTAGATCTTGGAGTGCGGCATGGAAATGTAACCAGCAATTTACTAGCAGCAACAGCTAGGGGCAAACCACCAGGCATAGCCCAGGTCTGACAGCACCTGCAGGAGCAAACCAGATTAAAAATTTCTTTTCTGAGCCCTAGAGAAACAGTGAAAAGTTAATAAAACATTAACTGACAGAGAGCTGGATCTGGAAGAAAGTTACCTGTAGTACACTCCAGGAATTAGGCTGTTTTCAGATTTTCCCATGGTGATCATGCAGTGCTACAGAGTACAAAGCCCCAGAGCATTGGGCTCATGTGTTCCACGCAGTCCAGGAAATGTGAGCCCACTCACGTACCTGGGCTGGGAGCTGTGTGCAGCTTCTTTGGGAGACACTGGCCCATAGACATCATGTCCGTGATGTCACTGCTCTGATGCACAGCCCCAAATCTCATTTCTAATTTGAGACTAAAAATGAAACACTGATACCCCACTACCACCATAAAGCCCAATCTAGTGCTCTGCCTCTGAGGGCCGTGTCAGTCTGATCTGAGGTGAGGACTAGAACCAAGCTCTTAGAACAGTGACCCAGAGCAAGCCCTACCCTGCAGACTGTCCCTGCTGCTGAGGGGATGAAGGGACCATTCAAGAGAGAGAGGCAGCATCCATTCCTTCTGAGTAGGAGAGAGCTAGGCAGCAGAGGGGCTGTGTGCTGGCAGAGGCTGAGGCCCACCCACTACCATGCAGCCAAGCCTCCTAGGAGGCAGGAATGGGAGGTAGGAGGTGGTGAGAAAAAAGAGCCCTGGGTGGGAAGGACCTGGGCTACTTTTCATCTTGGAGGCTTAATTTCCTCACCTGTTTGAAGAGGAGCCAATTTGGCCTACCTCAGCAATACTTGGGAAAGCTGAATAGGAAATTAATGTGAAAATTTAGAAGAAAGCGGTGCCCGTTAGGAGACTGGCAATGACATAGCTAACCTTGGATATCCCTTCCCCTTATATGAACAGCACCCCAGAACCACCCAGCTTAGGTACCCAGCAGTAGAGGGTGGATGGCTTTTTTCTGACTTCTACAAATCCTTAAGCAGCAAGGATCTGATCCTGAAAAAGTGCAAAAGCACTTTTCTACAGCCCATGGTGCTTAGTATAAAGCTGTGCAGCTAGTAGAGAGAGGTAATTAGACTGAACCTGTGACAGCGATTTTTTGTTGTTGGGTTGTTTTCATTCCTCCCCC